AAGCATAATTTTTTGANTTTTTTTGTTTTGTTTTGTTGATGTGATGATTTGATATTTAGTTCATATTTATGAAAGTACGTTTCATTATAATCTCTGCAGTTATTATTTTATAGAGGTAAGTTTGATGTATGGCGCTTTATAGTATAAGACACCACTAGAAATCCGGGCACCATCGACGCAGTGAGTGTATTGGTTAGTGGTGGACCCAGAAATTTATGAGAGAAAAGGCACCATAGAAATTTTAAGATTCAACTGACATTACATATAGCATAGTTATTTCTAATTAATGCTATAAAAATATCATTTAAAAAAATACTAAAAAACATGAATTATTTAATTTATTTTTGTTCTAAGAAATTTAGACATATCGACAACTATTTCCATTTGTGTTAAGTAAGAAAGAAAAAATAATAAAGAAATGAAAGTGAAAACTACTAGAAACCAAGTGTCACGGACCTAAAGTTTCAACACAGCATAACGGCCCGTGAGGCACCCCGGACTTACCCTTGAGAGGGGTTAAGCCTACATGTTACATTCATTGGCTTGAAGTTTATTGGTTTTGTCCTACATGGACTCATCAGGGAAGCGACTCCAGCTATCGACCATTTTGTGCGAGGATGGCCTAGTCCATTGTTCATTGTTGAGTATGAAAAACAACTCCTAAGGTCTTACCGACTTTTGCACTCCCCTCTCACATACCACCTCTCTCCTAAAGAATCTTATGATGCATTGTCAATGTGCCTGGAAGAAAAACACCTGACATTTCAACTATCACATCCCACTTGAATGATTAGCGAAACCCCTCAACCTCGTACTACGCTCTTCACACTTGTTGCTCTTATCACAACATTGCGAAATAAGGTCGTGACATTCTCCCACACCCATTTGTATGCAAGTCCTCATGCATATCATTCTTGTAAACGTTGGCCAGACACAATCGTTGCAGTTTTTGGCTCGTGGCAAAACCCAGTGGCTAAAGGGACGCCAATTACCTTTAGGCGCAACTCTGTGATCGTGGAGATGTACACTTCCATGTTGCGCTGTTGTCCATGCTTGATGTTGCACTTCCCAACATGCATCTCACACATGCTTCTTCGACTCCACATGTTGTCTGCCCTCAGTGTCACTCGTTGCGCTCTTGCGTGTCAACTTTTCACTCCTCACAATACTTAACGTGCATCTTAACGACCCCGGTGCATCTTGCAAGCGCAAGGGAGACCTTTTTGGCCAAGATCGTTTAAAAGGGAACAACACAATGCTAATGTCTTCTTTCCTGCTATGATATAAATTGTCATGGACCTAGAGTTTCAACAAAGTGGAATGAATTGTGTAGCCCTCGAACTTACCCTTGAGCGCTGTTAAGCCTACACGTTATGCTATTATCGGCTTAAGGTTTACTGGTTTTGTCCTGCCATCGACTCATCAGGGAAGCAACTCCAGCTCCCGACTAATTTTTGTAGGGATGGCCTAATACCTCTTTCATTATCAACTATGAAGAACAACTCCTATCGGCTCTTGCACTTCCCTCTCATAGAGCACTATCCTCTTAAAGAGTCTCATGAAGCATTGCTAATATGTAAGGAGAAAACTTATATGACGTCTCAATTGTCACACACCACTTGAATGCTTTGTAAAACCCCTCAACTTCGTATGCTTTCCGCACCCGTTGCTCTTATCACAACGTTGTGGAATAAGGTTGTGACACAAGGCATGTGTCAACATTGTTGAAAATTCTCATCAATGTCGAGGAACTCCAATGCTTAGTCAAATGTTAAACGTCACCTAGATGTCGGACTAAGCTTGCAGAAGTTCTTTAATTTTAACGATTAAACATTTGTTGGTGGTGTGCATCAATATAGACATAATACACCATCAATGTACATCACATAATATAAGTATAATTAATACAATATTATAATTAATACAAAAATCTCTCTTGTCAATCTTTTATTTATGTTTCTTCAAACGTATATTATCATTGCATCATAAACATTTCGATAATTATCTCATGTGTAACTCTATAACTTTTTGCACGTGCATTATCATTGATGTCAAAATCACGCATACTAACTTAATTAACTTGAACAGGAAGTTTACACAAAATTTGAAGGAAGTCGTCAAGAAATAACGAAATCGCAAAGCAAAAACTGACAATAAAAACTTCATCCAATCCTTTTGGTATTAACTGTGTAGTTTTCTTTGTAGAGCATTTAAAACGAAGTTCTTTCTTCCTAAACGCTGCAAGGGTTTGCATTTTCTTAGAATTTTTATAGATTTTGACTTTTGTCCTATTTTATTAACAAAATATGAATCTGGTTAGCTTGTTTGAGAGTTATATTAAATATTCAAATTATACTATTAATATATTGAACGTCCTCATCACGTCAGACTAGGGTACTGAGCAGGGCAGGCCACTGTAGTGTAATGGTTTGGGGGCCATGGCCACCCCTAGGCTTTGGGAATAATTTTATATATTCTCTTTTACATTTATAAAACATTAGACATAATGGTATATTATATAGCTTTGGCTAACCAAAAAAAATACCTAATATTTTTCATATTATTGCTGATTCTTATAATTTTGTAATAGTGTATTATAACCAATTGATGAAAGATTGAAATATTATAGATAAAGATAAATTGAAAGATTAAAAACTTAAATTTTAGTCTTACTCACTTTTTATTTTTTATATACCTCTTATCTAGTAGTTTAATAAATAAAAACCATCAACATTACAAATTAATTGATTTTTATATAAATCCATTTAAAAACATAACATATGTATAATATTTTATTATTTATTAGTAATTGGATTAAGGTAATTTGTTTTTTCTTTTTCACTAGCTAGCATCATATAATCTTGAAAATATTGTTCAATGATCTATATCAATAATTTTCTTATTCTAAATTAAAGAAAAACACTGAAAACAAATATTGTATTAAAATAACGAAAATATAATTTCTTTTAAAGTGTTAGACTAAAAAATAACTTTAATTACCACATTTTTTTTTTTGTTTAGAAAAAATAAAAAAAAAATGATCTACAATTCATACAAAAAAAAAAAATTCATTATTTTTCTTTTTGTAATATTGATTTTTTTTTTTTAAACCACGATGTGTCCCCGTGCTGAAATTTATGGGACTAATTCTCGTTTCGAAATTCGTGAGATGCCTATGGCCACGAGCTGATTCGAGTGAAATTCGAATTTTTGATATTACAAGTGATAAAATCTGAGAGAGCCCATATACTATTTGGACGACACCCTTGTGGTTGTAATATTGATTTTTAAATTATATTACTTATATATTCTCATCATTTGAGATGTAAAAGGAAATTCAGTGTTAGCATAATAATTCAATTTGATAAGAAAGAAAAAAAAAAAAAAAGAATCAAATGATATAATTTTAATGAAGATAAATGATGTAAAAGTATTGAATACAATTATTAATATCACCGCCCAAAGGAACAGTCAAGTCAACAGAAGTTACGTGGAAAAAACAAAATAATTATTAAAAAGTTCTTTGTGAAACTTCGAAGAAGGCTCGTGCTTGTAGAATGTTATTTTTGAAGCCAATAGGAAACGATTAAAAATTATTAGTATTTTTCAGACCTTCAAGTTTTGGTCAGAAACAGTCCACTCCACAAGTTTCAAAACTTATAATCAGTAGCCATATTCAACAGTGTCTGTTCAAATAAATTAAAGGCTAATATATAATTTATATTTGCTGAATTTAGTATTTTAATCTCCATGTAACAGTAAAGAATTGGCATTAATCACTCTTAACAATAAGGCAATGTATATTTTGAGAGTAACCTACCTATCAAAGTTGAGATCTTAAGCTTTTTTTTTAATTTTTATAATCAAGGGTGTTTGAACCAGCTTATACACATCTCAATTAATCTCTCGAGACTCTGAAACTACCAGTCAAGTAAGAGTTCCAGTGGTTACCCTTATTAGCAACCAAGGAAAGACTTGAACTCAAAACCTCTAGAGGAATACACCCAAGAGTTCTTATCAAACCATTCAACCACACAAGGATTGGTTAGATCTTAACTTTAAATCTTAAGTGATGTGAATATTCATATGTCAATACAATAAATGATAATAGGATAAATATGTTACTTTTTTTAGTCAATGAGATACTGACACATAAATAAGAAATCTAAAGTTGGGATAAAACTTTGATATATGGTGGCATTACTGATTTTTTAATATTCAATTATTATATTGTTTACTTTAATAAAGGTTCATGGAAATTACCCTTTTGAAGAATTAATGTATTATGTACAGGTACTGATTAAAAATATCAAAAACACTTTTATATGTTTTAATTAATTTTATAAGTATGTAAATTTCTTTAAAGAAGTAGGAAATTCGATATATATATTTTTTATTGGACAAAGACGGTAACAGAAAATTTAGATTGAAAAAGATTAATATTTGGAGTATTTCGAATAATTCTGTAAAACTCATGGGCTTTGGCTACCACTGAAAGATTAGGGACTTCTATGTAATTTATCATCCCCCAAACGAGAAATTCTGGTCCTTCTGGATCTGAAACTATGCAAGTTCTTTCAATTCACAGCACAGAAAAAACCTCTGCCTTCCCGATTTCATTTTAGTGTTACTCAGAAGTGTTCGTTGACGGATCGGATTAAAGTTCATCTTTCGGCTAAAGCGGTAAGTTTTCTTGGCTTCCCTAAAATCTATGGTTTTTATTTTCTGATTTCATTTTAATTTTAAGGATCTGGCAAATCTAATTGGTTTGTTTGAGAGAGAGAAAATTAGTGAAACTAATCATACAACTGAAAATAGGTTCTTATGGAATCTAGCTCGAATATATTTGGATCTCTGTTTAATTTCACAGATCTAAAGAAGATCAGAGTTTGATCGTACTCTTGGATGTATTTTTGTCGAAAAAATATATATTTTTTTTCTGGCAATTAAATTTATTTGTTTTTTTTTTTTTTTTTTTTAAATTTTTAGTCTTTTGCTAATTGATTAAAGTCAATTGAAAGTTCATCATGAGCATCCCAAGAGTCTCATCAAATGGATCTTCTTCTTCCTCTGGTTGGAAGTATGAAGTCTTCCTGAGTTTCAGAGGTGAAGACACTCGAAAGGGTTTCACAGGTCATCTCTATACTGCTTTGACTTGTAAAGGAATTAATGTATTCCGGGATGACAAAGAACTTGAGATAGGAAAACCCCTTTCATTGGAACTCCTTGATGCAATCGAAAAATCAAGAATCTCAATTGTTGTTTTGTCAAAAAATTATGCTTCGTCTTCTTGGTGCTTGGATGAACTTATTAAGATCGTTGAATGTAAGAGCAGATTGGGACAAATGGTGATTCCGGTTTTCTATGATGTGGATCCAGCGGTGGAAAGAGAAGAGAGGGGAAATTTTGAGGAAGCACTTACTAAGCAGGAAGAAGCTTTTAGGGACAATATCGAAAAGGTGGAAACATGGAGGAAGGCTTTGATAGAGGTGATTAATCTCCCTGTATTGGAATTGAAAGATAGGTACGTAACATTTATTTCTTATTAGAGCTTGTATAAAATTGAAAGAATTATGAATTAATGAAGGAGTGAATTGTTTATAAGTGCAATAGTAGTTTAGAGAAGGTAGAATAAATCATGGAAAATGGAGAAAAGTAATTTAGCCTTGAAGCCTTATGGGTTTGAATCAGTCAGATAGTAGTATGAATATTTTGTTAATTCTTGCAATAATTTCAATGGAAGTAGGTAGAGGGTAGTGGAGCTGCCACATTTTTTAATTTCATTGACCATTGTTTTAGGCTTCTCTCATTGGCTATTATGATAACAGCTTTGTATTTGATCTGGCTTTCTTTTCATTGACTAGTAAGATGCTACCTGGTATTGTGTAAGAATTTGTATTTGAATTAGAATTTAAATCAGAACCTTCTCATCTTATCTGCCAACTATTAATTACTCCTATATCTTTAGGGTTATAAATTCACCCACTAACCGTACTCATTTCAAGTTTGAAAAACAATTCTTGATTAAACTTCAATTTAATCTTTCAACTAAAGACTATTTTTTAGTGAATCAAAAGAAGATTTGTTTTCTATTTTCAGGTTTCATTGATTAATTAGTATAAAGAGGTGTCATCATAAACATATAAATACTAAAATTTTGGAACTAAACATAAACTATTATAATAATGTATAAGAATATTATTATTATTATTTTTAAAAAGAGAGAAAATCAACTCCTTTTTTTTTTTTTTTTAATAGTCTATACAGCAAATTTAATATTGATCTTCAAGTTACCTATTTACTGTATATTTAATATTTTATATCAAATTTACACGTGCAAATTTTAAAATATTTACCTATTAAATTTAGTATAAAATAGGTATAATTTAATATTTACCTATTTTGCAAAATACGTGTAAATCCAATTTATATTAAATTTACATTTACATTTTTATTAAATACAGTAAATATTTACCTGCAAAATACGTGTAAATCAAATTTATATTAAATTTGAATTATACCTTTTTCGCAGGTAAATCAAAATAAATAAGAGTTCATTTTCTCTCTTTTTTTATTTTAAATTTAATATAAATTTATTAGTCATTTATTATCGTAAATTCATTAATTTTAACCTTTTAGTATAATAATTTTAAATGTATTTGACTAATAAATTTATTAAAATATAAATGTATAATATCTAACAAAGGGGATGATATTTACCGTCAAAGTATAATATTTCATTTTATAAACTATTTAATTAAATCTAAATGAATCAAACTAAGATGCTTTAAATAAAATTATTGTTTGATTTATATTTCATTTCAATCTCCTAATTTAAATGAAGTAAAAAATAAAAATTAAAAAATTAAATCCAAATACAAACAAAAACATGGAAAAATCATAAGTCGTACATTACTTTCTAAGTTATCTCATAGTAATTCTGTGTTAAATTATCTTTATACATTCTGATATGTATGAGCTAAATTAGCCACATCTAGAGGGGCACTTTAAAGTAAAACAAATTTTAAAAAAATAAAAAAAATTTGCTTACGAACTTGATAAAGTCGCGTTGCCTTGAAGAAAAATAAAACGCAACGATAGTAAAAACCCCCTAAAAACCCAATTTGTTTAGATTAGCTTTGACGAGAAACTTTGCTTTAGTTTCTCTTCAACGGCGGATAAAGCTCTAGGTTTAGATCAAGTCCTTTGCTCAGTTGAATGCATGAAAGTTGATGAAGCAAGACAATGCTAATACTAATAGTAGCGACAACAACTTTCAAATCACGTGCTTCTCCGACCTTATCGATGATGTCACTCTCCATTTTCTAGTCTAGGATTGGCATTTGGCCCGCCTCGCTCGAACGGGGTGGGGATTCCCTAAAATAGTCGGGAGGTGGTCATAGCCCGAAGGAAAAATGAATTAAATGATTATGTTATTTAAATACCGTTTATTACGAACATAATTGTAGTTATTTATATAGAATTTAACTTAAATTCTATTTGATAATTTGATAAGAGACTTAAAAAAAATTATGTCTTAAATAGACATAATTAATCATTTATCAAATAGACATAATTTATCATTTGATAAGAAATATTGTTTTTTTTAATAAATGATCAAAATTATGTGTATTTGATAATTTGACAAGAAACTTAGAAAAATTGGTATAAAGTATCGAGAATAGTACATGTGGGTCTGTTTCATTATTTTAGATATGATTTTTGATATTTTTAGACTTGGGTGAGAATAACAAGGTAGAATTTAAAAATTAAGAAAAACACCCCTCTAGATTTTCTAATTTACTGAACACCCCAATATATAAAATTTTTGTAAAATGACAAAAACACCCCTATCAACAGTTGCCAGATTCCGGCCACCACCGTTGGGATTTGGTGTTACGGTGCATGAATGATATAACCTGGCCTTTTGTGTGCCGATATGACATTTTCCTGTCAAATCTACCACATATCTGGTCGAAAAAGGCAATTTCTGGCCAACGACGATCAAAGATATGGCCGTTATTGATGGTCAACGACAACCATATCTTGGCTGTAGTTGACGACCAGCTACTGCCAAAGATCTGGTTGGAAAATGATAGATCGACATACTACTGGCCAGATTCAGCCAGTAGTGTGCCATTATACCAGATTCTGGCTACCTTCCAACGATGGTAGCCGAAATCTGACAAATGTGGGTAAGTGGGGGTGCTTTTATTAATTTTTTAACTTTTTTTCTGAGGGTGTTTAGTTAAATTAATAAACTTAAGAGATTTAAAAGTAGTTGAAAAAAATATATTGAAACAGTTATTTCGAAGATAAGATTTGGGAATAGGATATGAAATATTGAAACAAACACCTACAAGTATCATTTAAAATAAAGATTTTTCTGTCCTTCGTTATTTCAATAATTACAAAATGTCCCCGGATTCATTGTACTACCTACTTACCCTTGTTATAGTTTTATAATTATGGAATTACCCTTCATTTATAAACCCAATTTTCGCCCACATGACACTACACAAAGTCACAAACACAACTAGAAGTCGACCCTAAATCCTAATCTGCTACTGCTACCGTCGTCCGTCAACCCGTCATCGCCTCTTCACCGATTCCGGCCTCCACAAACCGTAATCTGCTACCGTCATCGCCTCTTCGCGGATTCCGGCCTCCACGAACCGTAATCTGCTACCGTCATCGCCGCCTCGCCGATTCCGGCCTCCACAAACACTAATCGGCTACCGTCATCGCCTCCACGACTCTACGTTTCCCGATTCAAGTATTTTTCCCACCGTTTATTTGTTTTATGGATTATTTTGTATTGCCTTTATTCTCCCTAGTTGTTGCATAGCTTAAAGTGTTTTCCCTCTTTTATTCTAATTTGAGTTTGTTTGTCTTCGAAATTGGAGAAAGAGATAGCTAGTTGGTTTATGGACTTTTGAGTTGGTCAATGTAGAATATATTGTGTGGCTCTCTCGATGATATTTGGGTTAAATGGGAAACTTGCTTGAATGTTTGTTGTTTTCCATGATGTTGGATAAAATTTTGAAGTGTTGTTTGAGGTTTTTAAGTGGACTGAAATTGGCTGTTGGTGTGTTAAAATGTTTTTATGCATGTATCTTCAAGTATGAGATGTTGCATGTTGGGTTTTCAAAGTTTTGCATCTCTTGGAAAACAACTTTGTGGGTTATGCATGTATCTATTATTCTTTCCAATTATATAAGTAATCTGATTTTCTTTATGTATGTAATAACTTGAAACTTGTGTACAGGTTGTTTGTTACAGTATGCGATGTTGCAGGATGGGTTTTCAAGGTCTCAATCAGGATGGTTTTGAATTAGTTTTTTTAATTAGCACCCAAAACACAGATTGAATTTAGTGTTTCTTATGGATTTTTGGGGAAAAAGTTACATTTAAGCTCAACTTTGCCATATTGGTTGCTATGGTGCTAACTGTTGTTCATTTGATTTGATAATATTCGTTGCCACAAGCATGTTTCATGCATAAGTTATCCTGTTACAGCTTGAGGATCTTTTCTTTTTGGACTTGATACTCTTTGCGGTGCCCTCAAGTTGAATTAAATTGTGTTTGTCAATTTTTTGTTGGATGTTGAATTAAATTGTGTTTTTCACTTTATTTAGGATAAAAATGTTTGCAGAGTGCAGCTAATGCCATCGTTTAAGAGCTCTAGACTATATGTTCTAATTTGTCCGCCTTTTAGAAGGTTTTTCAAGTCTTGTGATAGGAGTAAAGCTGTTTTGACTAGACAGAAGACAGAAGATTTATTATTTGGATTTCAGATGTGTTGCTGTTATGATGTATTTGTTGGATAATGATATAATTTTCATGTTATTTGTTTTGTTAAATTCAGTCAGCACTGGTTTGCAGCTTTAATCATAAACATGTTTTGGGGTTTGAGAAATTTACTATATAATATTCTCAGGATAACATTATATGATACGGTGGAATCAACTTTATTTAAAGCAGTGGAACTTGTTTGAATCAATATTGTGACATTGTAAATACCATTATTAATATGAATAAGTCTAATTTTTAAATTTGTAATAAATAATTGTCTCTGGGTCATTTTATTAATATTTGTTTCAATAATAATTGAAAAAAATGCCATTTATATAATGGATAACTGATTTCAGGAAGCAGTATGCGGGGAATGAGTGGGGAAAACCCCTGAATTTGGGGCAGGCTGGGATGGCGATGGGAGTCACCACATCCCCGCGTGCCAGGCCTAGGGATTCCCCGACATCCCTGTCCCGGGGATGGGTTGGACTAGGGGAATCCCCTTGGGCCGTCGGGCCAGACCTGGACACGGGTCCCCAGCCTTGGCCTGGCCCGTGCCCATCCCTAGGTTCCAGTTCTACTACTTCTTCTACATACATAACTGTAGAGAGCAATAATTTACTTCGATTTTTGTTGAACAAAACAGATATATGCTTGGATTGGTTGTAACTCTGAGAAATTTGGCCGCTTATATGCAGCCGCGCCTACTTGGCCGGTAAGTTTATGTAATTCAATGTTTATTAGTAAACTTGAAATTAAGAAAATCATCTTTATTATAAAATTTTAACAATATAGTTAAATGAAACCAAAACATTGTGTAACCGAAATATCCGTTTGGTGTTAGGACACCATTAATGTAGTATGAACCTAGAAGGAAAGAGATAAAGTAAATGAGATTTTTCTTATTGTAATTTTTTATGATGATGCACAGAAAAATACAGTGATTGTTAGTTCAATACTTGGAGGGGTTTCTGACAATACTGGATCTGGCATTGCTCAAAGATTAGGTATATATTGTGTTTATGAGTTGGATTACATGTTTTATAGTTGTAAAGGTTTTTGTGTTGGCTGATATAAATGTCTGTGGCAGTGATAAAGACTGGTCTCAATGTGATTTTGGCTTGCAATATACCTAAGAATAGTCCTATGAGTGAGGTTTGGTTCCCTCTCACAGAGTTTGTGTTTTTGTTATTGACCATCTTATGTGTGATTCACTTCTTTTTGTTGTGTGTGTTTAGAGCTTGTTGCTATATATATATATATATATTGAGTTTTTAGGTAAATGCGGAGAAGAAGTTGGTTGAGAAGCTGATGAGTTTGGGGTATACAAGGCCAAAATCTTCATAGCAAAGAGGGACCGCCTTTTTGTTTGGTGGTTGAAAGTGCCATTATGATATATGTTATGTACCTGTTGAAACAGTGGAATTATTAAAGGGGGTTCCATATACTGATTTACTGATAGTAATTTGTTATGTTTTCCTCAATAGTTGATATTCAGTGATTTGGAGGTGTTATAATTGAATCTTCACTAGCTCTAGCTTTTTCCTTATTAGGAGCCCTGTCTTGTTACACAAGAAAGGTTACTGTTATGAAGAAAATTTTAAGTTTCCCTTGTCCGGTTTGTAAACAGTTGTTCCTCTGAATGATCTTGCCGCTTTTTCCTGTTTATGACTGATGTGATTTCTGTAAATTCTGTTGGGACTTACGTAATTTATTAAGTAACACATCTTGTGGAACTGATGGTGCAAAGCTGCCCTTTGGATCAATGAGACAAGTTGATGTTTATAATGGCCCAATTTCAGGTCTGAATCTGTATTCTTCAGTAACCCAACAGTCCAACACATCATCCTCCCTGAATATTAATATTTGTAATTTTGTTGACACCTCCAAGAATAGAATTGATACTTATTAAATGTTCAAAAAGTAATCCACTTAAGCAAAGGATAAAGTGCCTTTAAAAAACTTTTAAGATTGGAATATTAGCTTCCTTCTGTTCCTTATAAAAGACTATGAAACTGATTGGTGTAACCTGTATCTCTACAATTCAACAAATTGCCATGGACGGAATCTTTGATGATAAGGATGGTATACTCTTCTCTCCCTATATGAGTGTTTTTGTGCAGTTAGCTGTATGATATGCATTAAATAATTTCAGCTCTTAACTCAGGTTCTTCTTCTTGTTAAGAATATATTTTCATCAACATCATAATTGCGGGGATCATGAGATCTACATCAGATGCACCACCAACTCATTACACTGTCAAAATACAATTACTTTCACTACTTTGAAGAATGTAGTGGAGAAATATGAATCTGGGAATTTGAGGCCGGAGGCTACAAATGGTATATTTGCTTTCCCATAAACCAAAGCATATGTTTAGTGAGGTGGCATTTGTTATGTTGTTTGAAGTTTAAATATCTGAATTTAACTGAGATTTGAATAGGTCTAAATGCATAAATTTTAAAAATATTTTCTTTTAATGTCTAAACATTAAGTGTTTGCAGATCATCAGTTTGAAAAAATTTAATAAAATCTTTTTTAACGTTGTAAATAATTTTTTATTTCATTGTTCTAACATATAATTATGAAAAATAATTAAAACAGGATATTTGAAAAATAAATGAATAAGCCATTTTATTTATTAAACTTAAAGTTATGAAATTGATTATTCAATAAAAATAATTAAGAAATAAGAAAATTTATTTGATGGTTGAAAGAATTGATTTAAAATATGGTCCAAATTCTTACTTAAACATATAAATGGGTTTTATGAAGATAAGAATCAGAATAATTTTATAGGTGTTTTTGAGAATTAATTTGAGGCAAATATTTCAGATCTTTTCAATTAAGATAAAAACCAAGAGTTTAGGGTTTTTGTTTCTTTTTCATTTTTATAAATATGTATGAAGTTGTAGATCAAATACTCTAAAAATACCTGAAAACAAATTTACCCTACGTATGAACATATTAATTGATTTTGGTTGCAGTAGCAAGTCCACAACCATCTTCTGCGGTGACATAGCCTTTGCATTATTGATATTGTCTTCTTATTTTCAAACTCCATTAACGTATTATGCCAACACTTGCAGGAAACTGGTTCTCTACCCTAGCGTAACAAAAGCAAGAATGTTAAAGAGCATATTTCTCTGTACTTAGCGATAGCAGATGCAAGTTCTCTCTGTCGTGGTTGGGAGGTCTATGCAGTTGTCTGATTGTTTTTGCTTGATCAGAATAAGGACAACTACTTGATAGTTCAAGGTTAGTTTATTTTATAAATTGGGACATAGCCAATAGACTTTGCATCCTTTTTCCACTTAATTTTACTTGTGTATGTTGTTTGACACTATTTGTGAGAAAAATTGTCAGCTTTTACCTGTTGAGTTATTTTGGTGTCTAAAAAGTTGCTCTTGAACATCAAAGAACTTTTTTCTCCCTCTCTCTCTCTTGCATTTTAGATATGTTTCGTTCTATTGCCTTCTTGATTTACCGTACCGCAAGCAAATCATGTGCCTCTTACTAATTATTTGGTCAATTTTCTTGACTAGATGCTCTGGGGAGGGAAAGACGCTTTCATGGATTGAAGCTTGAACGGGGTTTTGATCAATAAATTTCGCTTACATTATTTAATGATGCTTCTAATGGGTACCTTGTGGAGGATTCGTGTGTGTTTGTAGCAGATGTCTTTGTTTGTAAAGAAACAATCACAGGCGAAGGAGAGTGCTTATCAATGATCAAAGATGCACCTACTTTGTGAGTGAGTGAGTACTTCTAACTTTTAAGCATGTCTGGAAGGTTGAAGGTTTTTCGAAGTTAAACGAAGAATGTTATGACTCAAAAGTTTTCATTGCTGGAGATCACAAATAGTATCAAATTTTCAAGGACGGTTGGATTTACCTTGAAAAGTGTTATGTTTCTTATCCATGAAGTGACATTTAGATGATGATGGAAAGGCTTATTTAATATTTATCCATAAATACAGAAGAAGAAATTACCAGTGTTTTAAGTTTCAAACTGAACCATAAAAAAAAAAAAAGGAAAAAAGATGTCTAATCGTACCTTCTTGTGACAAATTGCTTTGGTAAATCTTCATCAGATTGCTATCTCTCTGGGTTTCAAGGACTTTAGATAAAGATTTTTAGTAATTTGTTTGTCTTTGTTGTGTTGCAAGAAGATACAGCTCTATCCAAGGGAAGACGCCTTGGAACTGGCACTCTTCTTTCTCTGTACTTGGCTCTGGCAGATTTAACTACTCTTGCCCCTGGTTCTAAAATATACGCTCCTGGATCAAGTGCAGGTCAAGCACATGGGTGGCAAAGGTAGAAGTAGACATATTCTTAAATCTGGACTGATGTTTGCTTGGTGGAATCAGAGATGACTGTCCTCGGAATTTCTGTGCACTAACTCCCTATTTTACAGATTTTGTTCTCAATATGTATTGATTACAATCCTAATATCCTAATGTAAATTGATTGCAATCCTAATATCTTAATATAGAATTATACACTTCAACACTCCCCTTCAAGTTGGAGCATATAAGTCATGCACCAAGCTTGCTACAGATAAAATCAATGCGCGGACCCCTGAGAGATTTAGTGAGGATGTTTGTTAACTGGTCGTTGGAACTGACATGACTAGTGTTAATACATCCAGATAGAACTTTTTCCCGAATAAAATGACGATCAATTTCTATATAGAACTTTTTCCCGAATAAAATGACGGTCAATTTCTATGTGCTTAATCCTCTCATGAAATACTGGATTAGAGGCAATATGGAGAGCAACTTGATTATCACAGAGTAACTTTATTTGTGACACTTCTACAAATTTCAACTCTTGGATCAGTTGCTTTAACCAAATGAGCTCACAAGTAGCTAAGGCCATTGCACGATATTTAGCTTCTGCACTTGATTGAGCAACAACGACTTGCTTTTTACTTTTCCAAGACATTAGGTTTCCTCCAATAAGAACACAAAAACCCGAAGTAGAAGGTTTACTAGATGGAGACCCTGCCCAATCAACATCAGAATATCCAACAATATGTGAATTACCCCTGTTTTCATATAACAAGCCTTTGCCTTGTGCACCCTTTATATACCTTAAAATCTGAACAACTACATCCCACTGACTATTACATAGAGACTGTAGGAACTGACTTACAACACTAATAGAAAAGGAAATACCAGGTCGTGTGACAGTGAGATAATTAAGTTTATCAGCCAGTCTTTGGTATCTTCTAAGATCAGCCAGTGGCTCCCCTTGTCCAAGTGAGAGTTTTAAATTAGGATCCATATGAGAGTCTATTGGTCTGCAATATGACATTCCTGTCTCTTTAAGAATATCTAGTGCATACTTTCTCTAAGAGATAACCATACCAGATTTGGACTGAGCAACTTCTATACCAAAGAAGTATTTAAGAAGTCCTAAATCTTTGGTCTGAAAGTGTCTGAATAAATGCTTCTTCAATTGTTCAATACCATCTTGATCACTTCCTGTAATGGCAATATCATCAACACAGACAACCAGATAGATACATTGCCCTGGTGATGTATGTCTATAAAAGACAAAATGATCAGACTCGCAACGAATCATACCAAACTCTTGGATAACAGTACTGAATTGTCCAAACCAGACACGAGGAGACTATTTCAAATCATACAGAGAACGACGAAGTTTGCATACCAAGGTAGACTCCCCCTAAGCAACAAACCCAAGAGGTTGCTCCATATAAATATCTTCCTGAAGTTCACCATGAAAAAAGACATTCTTAATATCCAATTGATGTAGAGGCTAATGTTGAATAACAACCATTGCTAAGAATAAGCGGACATAAGATATCTTAGCAACCGGGGAAAAAGTATCAAAATAATCCATCCCATATATCTGAGTGTAGCCCTTGGCAACTAATCGGGCCTTTAAGCGATCAACTTGACCAGCAGGACCAACTTTGACTGTATAAATCCAGCAACACCTAATAGTCGAATGTCCTAGAGGTAATGGAACTAACTCCCATGTGTGATTATGATGCAAAGCAATCATCTCATCAAGCATTGCCTGACGCCATCCGAGATTAGAGAGTGCCTCATGAACATTTGAAGGGACAGAAACAAAACAAAGCGTGGACACAAATGCATAATATGATGAAGATAAACAATGATAACTTAAAAAATTATAGATCGGATGAGGGTTGCGAGTAGACCGCATACCTTTACAAATGGCAATAGGAGACTGATCATCAGGACAGAGGACCGTGGCATTGGAGGAATCAGGAGCAAGACTGCCATCGACAAGAGCCTCAAGGACGCTAGCTGGATAGTAGTACCTGTAAATGGAACAAGACTATGGTCTGTAATAGGAGACTCGGTAGTAGAAGGTTGTAGGGCTATGACAGACTTAGGAAGATTGGTAATGTACGGTATGGGAAGGACCGTGGTTATTGACTCACAATCTAAGGTAGAAGCAGAAAAGAATGGAGATGACTCGAAAAACGTAACATCAACATAGAGAAAATATCGATGTGTTGATGGAGAATAACACTTATATCCTTTCTGAAGACGTGATTACGCTAAGAAAGTACACTTAGTAAATTTGGTTACCAGTTTGTCTTGACTATGAGGGAAAAAATGGACAAAGCATGTGCACCCAAAGACACGAGGAGGGATAGAATACAACGATTGATTAGGAAATAAAATAGAATGAGGTACCTTGTCTTTGAGGATAGAAGAGGGCATCCAATTTATTAAGAAACAAGTAGTCAAAACATGGTCCACCCATGTCACGTCCCCATTCTGACCGTGGGGCCCGGCTGGACGATACCACTCTACGTGACTCATTAGGTACTATCCTTCCCTTAAGGGATTTCTGGTGAGTATCTAGTGAGTCACGTAGAGTGGTATCACCAAGCCGGGCCCCACGGTCAGAATGAGGACGTGACAACCCAAAAACGGAGAGGGACTCTATTATGTAAAAGCAGGGTATAGGCAGTTTTAATGAGATGTCTGTTTTTACACTCAGTAACCCCATTTTTTTGTGGGCTATAAGCACAAGAGGACTAATGAAGGATTTCTTGAGAAGACATGAATTTAGTAAAGGGATCAGAGAAATACTCGCGAGCATTATCACTGCGTAATACTCAAATAACAAAATTAAATTGAGTCTTAATTTCCGCACAAAAAGATTCAAAGATGGAAAATAACTCGAAACGAGTTTTCATTAGAAATAACCAACTACAGCGTGAGTAATCATCAATAAAGGTAACAAAGTACTAAAAACCTAAAACAAATGACACACGACAAGGTCCCCACATATCTGAATGAACTAACTCAAAAGGGAATGCAACCCATTTATTGACACGCTTTGGAAAGGTGTTACGAGAATGTTTTCCAAGCTAACATGACTCACAATTTAAAGACGATAAATTAGATAGACCAGGATGCATCTTTTTAAGCTTTACTAAACTAGGATGACTCAAATGATTATGAAGGAGTGCTGATGATTCAGAGACCATGCATGTTATAGATGGTAGATGGAGATGATAGAGGCTTTGTGACTCATGTCTTACGCCAATTATCCATCCCGTGCCTCGATCCTGTATAACAACAGAGTCAATATCAAAAGATATAGAACAATTTAAGAGTGGGTAAGTTTACTGACAGACACAAGATTAAATGGACAATTGGGAATATAGAGAACAAAGTCTAATTATGAGGATGGAAGTGGTTTGGCATGACTTATAGCTTTAACAACAGCTTTGGAGCCATTGGCTAAAGTAATAGATGTTAAAGATGCAACATTAGTTAAATGAGAAAGTAACTGAGGGTTACCAGAAATGTGATCAGAGGCACCCAAGTCAAGAACCCAAGGTCCAAGAGAAGAAGATTGAGTAAGGCATGCAACTAAATTACCCAATTGAGTGATATAGGCAATAGATGAAGAAGACTGTTTATTTGCCTAAAACTGGAGGTATTCTTCATAATCAACCCTAGTGAGAGTTAATGATGGTTGAGTGTGTCCTTCAGAAGAGTCAGAACGAAGGTCAACCTAAGCAACATTAGTGGTCCGAGTAGGGTGACCATGTAATTTGTAACATTTTTCCTTGGTATGTCCCCAACGATGACAATAACTACACTTAGGTCGTTTACTTCAACCACGATCTCCCTGCTCTCCTTCATAAGTAGTTTAAGACTGAGAAGCCAGAGCAGAAGAGTCAACAGCGATAGAACTGTGGACAGTACTTAGGGATGAAACCTGAAGTAATGTAGCAAATATTTCATCATGAGATGACACAGTAGCGTTAGCTAAAATCTGATCTTGTACAAGAGTGAGATCAGAACCAATATCAGCAAGGGTTAGAACCATGAAGAATTTGTCTCATTGTGCTAGATCTTCTGCAGCAGATTTACCAGCGAGTAGGAGAAGATTGTACTCTGCCTTGAGGGAGGTCATCTTAACAAGAAAATCTGACATACTCATATCCTATTTTTTTAGATGAGTGAGATTGGATACAACGAAATACAAGCATTGAATATTATTGGTATATTGTGGTTTAGCCTGACTCCATATCTCATAACATGTGCGGTATGTTTTGTAAATGGGATGCAGATTAGTGTCAATTGACTGTCATAATAGACTACACAATAAAGCATCAGTTTTGATCTAGGAAGACTTATTTGATGTGATTTTTGTAGCCTTTGTGGTCAAGTGATCTTGCAAACCTTGATTCGTACACCATAACTTGACAGAAGCAGCCTAAGAAGAATAATTCGTACTCCCAATCAACTTATCAGTGGTGATTAGTGGGAGTGACAAGAAGGAAAAACCATCGGAAGTGGAGCTTGAGCTGGAAGTAACCATGATAATGAGCAAATCTGACCGGAAACTAGAACCAGAGGTAACACTGATCAAACAAACATATTAAAGACATAACAAGCTGTCTAAAAAAAAATTAGCAGAAGATCCGACGAGGACAGCAGTGGAATCCGGTGAAGCTGTCGGAGTTTGACGTCGAAGGAAGTAGAACCTTAGTGGGTTTTGCTCGTCATTGTCTTCTGAACAAGCTAGTGCCGGTGGTGAGAACTGACACTCGTCGGAAGAGGAGATTTGAGTTGGATCTATCAAAAAGAAACACTGTGCATGCGGTGGTTGATGACATCGATCTTTGTGAGGTTTTGCCGACGAGATGGAGACGATGAGACGTGTATGGTCAAATGGAGGTTCTAACCACTGGAGAGAGATGCCCAATTGTCGCTAGAAAAAAAAATTTAAAATTTCTGACAACCTAGCTCTGATACCATGTGAAAATCAGAGAGAACTAATAGTGTGTTTTATTACTTGTGTATTGATAAAAAATAATACATCAATATATAGGAAAATAAAGAACTAATCTAAGAAACAAATAATCTAATCTAGGAAATGAATTATCTAACTTCCTATTTTACAAATTTTGTTTTCAATATATATCGATTACAATCCTAATATCCTAATATAGAATTATACACTTCAACACACTGTAACAAGTCGGCTCGGTCCACAATTTCCCTCCTTGAAAACTAAAGTGTGGCACTAGATTGAACTTGTGAAAGGCTGTAAATTTACTGAAGTTATCAATAAAAAGCATGTATTTTACATTTGAGAATATTGTGTATGCCCATACACATTCTGAAGTGCATTACCATCACTTACCCAAAACACATTTAAGTAAAAGACAACAAACATTTTAAATTGCACTAACCTGGCGAACTTGTTTGCTTTTAAGTAAGGTACTCATCTAGTTCAAATTCAAATTCACAACAATCTTGAGCTCCCAGGGTCCAAAATATCAACTCAGTCGACAATGTAGTTAATAACATATACACACAGTTTTCATCACCAGGATATTTTGCAAACATCAACTTATGACAATCGTTGTCAACATGAGGAAGAAGAATTTCAACGCCTGACAATAGATTCATCAAAAAGATTTGGATTTGCCATTGATAGTCAGGATTCAGTTTCACCATAATCAACCATCAAAAGATCCCATAAAACATCCTCTCGTAAGATTTGGGCATCTCCACGAGTTGCAGTTTATTTTCAAACATATTGAAGCAACTCCTTCTTGTGGTTTCATATTGGCCAAACATCACCAGCCATGGAAAACCTTTCAACGGCTTAGCAAAAATCGGTTGGATCACAATGCCTCTCCATGTCTTGCAAACATTACCAAAAGATACATAGTCACTTATAGCTAATTTATTTGAGGCCATCTTCTTAGAAGTTGTATGTGTCCCATATGATCAATTTAGTTGTGTTTGTGACTTTGTGTAGTGTTGTGTGGGCGAAAA